CCCATTTTCTCTTTGGTTTATCAGATGAAAGCACCAAGAGAAGGTTTTTTTGCAATGCCGATTAATCGTAGTAATTATTCAACATCTACAAAACCAGAAGCTTTCGATCCCCTTTAACAATCACCTTCCAATGTACAGTACCAAGGAGTGCTAATGAGCCGCTGAGCTACCGGCCAGCCGGTTTTTTTCCGGCCGCGGCACGCCGAGGACGGGGCTGCTCGCCCTCTGAGTTAGCGCGTGCTCTGCGCGGTCGGACACGAGTCCCGTTTGAGGAGCCCGGCTCTGGGGGCCGGGTTCTGCTGCTCACGGCGCTGGGAGCCGCCTCCTGCCGCAGCTGTAGGTGAAGGAACGCTCCCCGAGTGCTCTGGGTGAATAAGCGCCTGCAATGACAGAGATTAAAAAAAGAGGAGGGGAAAAAAAAAAAAAAGAGAAACATAACAGCATGTGCGCTGAGTTGTGCAAGAGCTCTGGTATCCCCAGTGCTGGGTGGAGGGCTCTGCTCTTCACTTCTACAAATAACACCCAGTTTCTGTGTCTTTTATTCATGCTTATTCATTCCTTGCATCATCAACCAAGCAGTGAGGATCTCGGTGTGTGGTGTGGTTCTCCATCGCTATAAAGGGGAAAAACAGCATCCTGTGTTTTGTTAGGACACCCACGCGCTGTGTTTGGAGATGCCCTGGCCCGGGGTTGGGTATCGGAGAGGATCAAAGACAGAGGAAAATGAAACTCTGCCTGCATCTGTTTTGCAGCATGGAAAGCCTTAAGGAAGCCGGTGAGGGTCCCCTCTGCTCTGCTTTCTCACTATTTCCTGGGGTAGTTCCTTGGATTTGTGTAACTAAATTTCTGATCAGCGAGAGGGCTACTGAAACCCTCCGCCTGTGTGAACGTCCTGCTGTCTTCAGCTGGAAAGTGAATTGGCCGCGGAATTAGAGTTTAGTGCTAACGTTTGGTGTGCACAGAGCTCGGTTTAGCTTTAGCCTGTCGAGGGTTGTCTTGCTTGTACGTTGGACTGTGCCTCCTGTGCGAGGGATTACCCAGAGCTCCTGGAAACACCGAACAGCCCAGGCATCACCAGCGGCTGAATAACCAGCCTGAATAAAGCTGCTGCTTTGTACCGGCCACGGACTGATTTAACTGCGAAGTATTTTGCCCCCCTGTAGTTCCGCTCGTTGCGGTAAAGCGCAGAACAGTTCTGTGCGCGTCGTGCGTTCCTGTGGGCAAAGGGCTCAGGTCACCTCCCATGACTGGGAGCTTTGATCCAGTGGAATTTTCTTCCCCTCTTTTCAGGCTCGAGTGGAAAGATGTGGGGTCTTTTCTAGCAACAGAGCAAAGACTACATGGATGGCTAGGTCTGTGGTGATGGTGTCCCCTTGTCCTTTTCATGTGGTGTTGCATGGGTTTCTAATCAAATTGGCATAAAAGACTGATGGAAATGGAAGAGGGCGTTCCTCCACCATCTGCAGAAGGTATTTCTAGTCCATTCCCTTCTTTAATCAGTTTGGTAACCGTCCTTAACAACTGTGGGCCAGATCTTTGGCACGAATAAACCATCCTAGCCCTGTTCCTTTAACTCAGACGGATTTACGTTGGCTGGGGCCCTTGTCCTAGCTTAGTCAGCAGAAGAGCTCTCGGGGAGCTGGCATGTTGACGCGGTACGTGGCAAGTCTGGGATACGACCTGGACGTGGCTCCAGAAAAGCCCATCGCCCCATTTGCGCTGCCGCGAGGGCTCTGCAGAGCCTAATGGCACCAGCGCGGCCGGTGCAAAATCCGCAGCTGGGTAAGTTCGAACGCCAGAAATAAGAGCAGTGTTGCTATTGTCTGCTTCGCCAGCCCTTCAGTAACCTCCCAGAAGGACTTAAGAATCTGAGAAGAAATAAACAGGGCAAGAAATACGAGTCTGACTAACTGAAAAAATAATGTTACTTGCGCCTGGCAACAATTAGCCAACGGGCACTGAAGGACACGGCCCGCCCAGGCTGAGCTGAGCTCTGCCTCCACCCCGTGACGAGCTCCGCATCCACACAGTCGGGAACCGCTCAGCACAAGGAGGCTGCAGCAGGATTTGTCCCTGCATCCTCCTCTCTCGTACCAGCGCCAACGTCAGGGTCAAAATCAGGCACCGCTCCTCGCCTGAGCTGCGCCTTTGCCGTGGAGGAGCAACGCGAGCCGTGCCCGCTGGCCCTGCCCGGAGGGACGGGCGGCCGTCGCCCTGCGTCAGCGTGCTGCGGTTAACCTGCTCCTCGCGGGGGGTCCCCCTCCCGATTCACCAGGCTTTTCCCGATCGCAAGCTGCAGGCTGTGTTTCTTCGCCCATTTTACTCAGCTTTACGTCGGGAAAGCTCCGGCGAAGCCTATGGGGACGGGGCAGCCAGGGGGGTATAAAACCGAGGAGCCCGTGCTGAGGCGCTCCGTAACGCTGCTCTCCAGCTGGGGCCGGGGGCTCTCTCTGCTGTAAGAAGCCGTGCCTTTTTTCCCCTCTTCTCTCCCTGCAAGTGCTCCTCTCTTCCAACCAAATAGAAAAATATTGCAGGTGAAATGTCTGTTGTACCAACAGCCAGAATTACGCGATAGTTCTGCACATGCACCAGAACTCACTGAACCTGTTTGTCAAACGCACTGACAGTCAATGATACTTTCATGGCCTTTACGTTGCAAACACGCTTTTTTCAATCTTGCCTTTAAAAATAATATTGTAAAATACGGATGAACAAGTGGGATAAAGAGCCTGTAGTCCAGACTCCAGTGCTGCTTCTGCCACGTGCTGCTGTGTGGCCCTTCGGAGACCATTCAGCCCAGACTTGCAACGCGAGTAGAGCACCTAAAGGTGTCAGGAGACGCTATGCTCTGATCTCACAAGAATTTAGACCCTTGGTGCTCATCAGAAACCTACTGTGCCCCGTTCGCAAAAGGTCCTACGCGCCACTCGCCACCGAGTTAAGTGCCTTTTAGAAGTGGTGCGTGTCTTCGGGTGTCCGCACGCCTTTGCAGGTGGGCTCTCCTAATTTCTGTGCTTCATTTTTTTTCCTGTTGAGCGGGCAGTAGCGCTGTCTAGTCACATTCGTGTTTGGGTATCTCTAGTAGTGAGAAGCACTTCAGAACAGTTCTTATTCTTACCTGGCCCAGGGAACCCTTCCTGCGAGCCGCGCTCTGTCCGTGGCCCCGTGCTCGAGACGAACGCAGCACTTGAGCAGCCCGGCTTTGCAGAGCCTTTGCAACCCACCCGGTCGTGCTGCCCAGGCCCCGGCAAAGGCAAATCTTTACAAGGCGGGATGGCTGGAGCAGAGGGAGTCGAGCAGAATTTCTGCCTGTCAGGAGAAAAAGAGATTGGAGGAACTTGTCCCAGACTGACGGGGTTTTATGTCTGGAAATAAAAGCTGTGCTTTCTGTCAAGCGCCCTGGGGAGGTGGATGCTTTATCCTCCTAAGCCAAAATCTTTGGGTGATGATCCGGGGAAAAAAGGGTCCAATTGCAAAGCCATAGACAGCCCGCTTTGTTTATTGTAAATACCAAGACTTGCCCGTGGTCCAGCCTCTGTAGACCTGGCTGCTCAGCTACTCCAGAGCCAGAGAGCGCTGAAAGCGACAGCCAGGCCAAACGGCTCCGGCTGGGAGTTCCTCCCATTCTCTCCCACTGACTGAAACGGGAGAGGGAGCAGGCTCTAACCCCAGCAGTTGGGCGTGGAGTGTTTTTGTGTTTTCTGATAATATGGACTGGTGATCTTCTCTCCTCATATTTAATTTGCCCTTTCCTCTAGCCCTCTGTCCTTATCAAATGCCACCTGGCATTGCTTCCCTCCCAGCCTACAGCTTCCCACTCTTTTTACAAAACCCTGTTATGAGATAGAGCTGCTGAGAGATGTAGTAAAGATACACCTGTTGGGTAAGGAGAGCCGTGGGCTTTCTCATGTTCTCATTCTTTTCCATGGTCAGGAATTTATTGTTGATCTTAATCTTAGGCCAGGCAACGTCACTGCATGGTGACAATAAATTTACTCAAACAATTTGTTGATGGGCAGATTTATTTGTCTTCTCATAAGGATACCGAGGGGGAGGAGGGCTTGGGAGAAGGGAGTTTCCTTTCATGCCTTTTAATCTCTTTGAAACGAGCGGTAGGATGGAAGACGTGGGAATGGCAGCTCTGGCTTGAAGGAAGTACTTGAAAGTTTTACAAGGCTCTTTCCAGCGTTAATTCCCAGCCTTAGCGAGGGCCGAGGAAATGCCCAGGTTTTACCCATCGGGCTCCCTGAGCTGCTGCGCAGCCACCAGCATCCCTCACCGTTCCTGCCCGGTGGTTCCCAGGTCTGAGTTGCTACACCCAGGGTGCTCCTCGGCGTGAGATCGGGTGCGGGCAATGCAAAAGAAACAGAGCCCCGTGCTTAAAGCCCCTGCCTGGGATGTGGAGGATCTTCTTCCAGGTCATGTGTGCTCTGGCTTCTTGCTCTGTACCATGGGGATAAGAAATTACCCCTACATCATCAGGGTGGTGCAGTATTTAATTACTGTTTGTAAATGTCTGAGAGATCAGCTGATAAAGGAACCTCTGATACACTGCTCCAGGGTGTTATCAACCCACACTCCCCTGCAAGGCAGCGCACTGTAACGCTTCCACCTGCGAGCCAGTTCCTGTAAACCTGTGGCAATAACTGGCCGCGTTGGGCCAGGCGATGCAGTGGGACACTGCGGGATCACTCTGCTGCCTGACGTATTTTCATATGTCCCATGAAAGCGGCACGTCTTCCAGGCTGGACTTACCTGAACGGTGTTTTCTTTGCTTCCTCGGTAGGTTTATGTGGCTGATACATTGCAGGCTCTGGAGTAAATCCGTCCAGCCTTGCTAGGTGGGACGTCTTTGACTCGAAGCAAGAAGTTGTACCCTTGGGAGACACCTTGATGAGGGAATCGTTGATGTCGTAGCGACCTACAAAACAAACAGGAAAGGGATGTGAATGCCAAACAAGGCCGCAACAGTGGCACTGAGGAAAGAGAGTGCATCCGTCAGTGAACGTAATAGAAGGAAAAAGAACCGGTATAACAGGACTGTGTGGGGAAATCACTTCTGGGTTTAAAAAGTGTTGTCCTGGGCAGAGCTTGTTTCAAGGGACGCTGATAAGGCAACACTAAACTTTGTCCTGAGCATAGGAACAAACGGAGGTATTAGCAGTTTTAAAGAATCAAACAAACAGGAGGAGAACTCGCACGTGGTATAACTTGTAAGATAAGCTACAAAGCTGCGTGCCCTCACGCTCCAGGTCTCCAACCTGACCAGGCAGGGGGCCAGGAGTAGACTTCTTTGGCCGCTCCAGTGCTGTGGAGCTTGGTACATTATGCACTAATGTGGCTTCTCCTGAAGCCTCTGGCATTTACACGGAGCTGTGGGGTGTTCTAGCGATTCCTCACGGCTACTCAAAACTGTCGGGATGGTTTCCGGACGGTTGTCTCAGCAGAGGTTCAAAAGGACCTACCCACAGCTCTTGGAAGGGAGACTCACCAGTGTCCTGACACCGGGTTAAATCTAACGTGCCTTAAGAAGCTCAGAGTGACCTGAATTTGTGTGCAATGGTGCTCTGCACCCTGGAGAAACAGAACCAAAATCACCAGCAACATCCCTCCTCCCAGCTCAAGGCTCACGTACATGGAGAAGGCCATTTTCCAGATTTTTCCAGATTTAATCCTCTTGTGGTTTTGGACACAACCACCGTCTGGCCAGAAACGTTGTTGCTTTGCTTGCAGAAATCCATAGAGGTCCGTTTCAGAAAAAGAAAAAGGGCTTGGGAATGCCTTTCAATTGACTTTACCTGTGGGTAATTACCAACAAAGGAAAACCCGTATTTAAAATCCAGTTGTCTCCATTGTGTGTGATTCTAATGATAGAGCTGTAGGCAGTATTAGGGCCGAAATCTGGGAGTGCTCACCAGTGGTAGGTAGGTCTCTTTGTGACTGCCCAGCATGTAAAGGTTGCATTTACACAGACGCCGAGGACTTGAAACTCTTGCAGAAAATGTGGCTTTGTGTGTTTAACTGCTGTCTCCAGACTTCTCCGACGTCAGCTCTAAGTGTCCGGTTTTGTTCAAGTCACCGCGTGAGCACCGGGTTTGAGATGGTGCTGCCAAGACGCCAAAGGGGCACCTGCGTGGCAGCCCCTGGAAAGGGCTACAGGGAAAAGGCGATGTCTCTGCGGCCGTCGCTGCTGGGACGGCAGGGTGGGCTGGTGGCTTTGAGGTAAGGATGACCTGAAGACTCCGTGTTTCAGCCCGTTCAAGCCTGCAGGTAACTGCTGGAGTGTTTGTGCCCTCCCGCACCAAGCTCGGTGTGCAGCACTGTTACGCTGCTAGCGGTCCCCGAGCTAATTAACTTGGACGGAGGTGCCAAAAGTCCCCGGAGGAGCAGGTCACGCCGCTCTTCTGGAGCGCTCAGCTCCCTGCTGCAGTCACTGCTCTGATGCACGCTGCAGCTCTTCTACAAAATATACAGAGAAACACATCTCATCCACAGCTCCTAAGGAGCCTCACGCTCAAAGTGAGAATTGCTCTCCTTACAGAGTCAAAAAAACTAGGGTGCCAAAGGTTATATGAGTTACCCAGGATCACAGAATAGATGACGGTGAAATGGGACAAAGGGGAAGATTCTTCAGATTCCCAGGACGAAGCCTAACCTCCTGGAACACGCTCCAGGATTTAAAGCTTTGTATTGCTGGCTGCTGAAATCAATGTTTTCTAACCGGGCTGTAGTTAGAGAAAACATCTAACAGGCAAGGCTAATTCACTGATGTGAGTGGAAGAGTCCAGTTCACGCACAGGAGCGAGGAGGTAGCAAGAAACCTGCATAAAAGAGTCAAACATAGAAAAACTGATGCTTTTCCCCTGGTTTTTTTTTTCCTTATGTTTCCTGTATTCAGCTAGTGAAATGCCTACAACAGTCATGATGTTTAACTGGCTTTATTTTAACATAGGCTTTGGTCCCAGAGCTTTGAGGGCAGCCTGGGTCACTCTTCTTGTTTCTCACTCGTTTTTTTTTCTCCAGTATTCGTCAACTTTCAGCTGTTGCTGCCTCAAAAGCAGATCTTCCAGTTACGAGATCAAAGTTCCTTTTTGCCTGAGTGGGAGCAGTGACCATGTAAAAACTGCAGGATCTGGCCTTCTTTTTCTTCTCAGATGTCTCTTTGTCTATAGTCATAAATTATCAGACACTGCCATCTTTTAAATAGATAGTTTCCTGTTCTGCTCCTTGTAGGTTAGATATTATCTCCTACAGTAAATCATGAGTCAGTGATTAATTCAAGAAGGCCGTTCCCAGAAGCAAATTCTTACAATGTTAAAAATAATATGATGCGAATCCATTATAGTATGATATAGAAAATAATTACGGCCTGCAAACTAGTTTAATCAACTTAGAACATGCTGGGGCAGATACTCAGTCAGAGTGAGTCATTATAAGAAAGTTCACAGTCTTAGCGCACAGGTTGTGTGAGCGAACATGATTACCCCATGTCAGCTGAGTCTCGGTAACTCTGTACGTGTGCTCTTTGCACACCCAAATTGTGAGGTAAGACGTGTTTGTTTAAAACACCTTTGCTGATGTTTAAACTGTATCAAATTACTTTATAAAAGCATGAATTGCTTCAAGAACACGCATGCAGCCAGTTAAGATGTCTCAGCTGATGAGTGGCAGCTTATTAAGCTTATTAAATTGTGTCATTTTCATTCTCTCTTAAACAGCTATGCAGAGTCATCAAATATTGTAAAGAGTCAATGTGCTCTGCCTCACCGCGCAGTGGCTGTACCTTGCATTAAAGTGCAGTTTAAAAGGGGAGAGCTCACTAGGAAACACCCGCAATGCAGGCATGCTGTGCAGAAAAAGACAAAAAATAAAGAATATTGTTGTTCTCTAAAGAATAACAAAACAACCCAAATATAATCACAGCTATAGCAAGACACCAGTGAAGGGACAGGAAAGTCCATTAGCAGTGCGTATGTTATTATAAGCTATCTGATAATTGTCAATGACACTTTGTGTTTTGTTAACATCTTCCATATCTCAGAACACGCTCTGAATTCCTGCGGACTAAAGCTTACAACACCCCAGTGAAGCCTGCTCACCGTGGCATGGGTGGAGAGCAGCAGGCACAGAACAGTTAAGTGACTTACACAAGGGTGAAGCAGCAGGAGGTTCGGGAAGTGAACCTGAAGGCCAGCTCCTCGGCTGATAGGCACCGGCACGGCTCCGCAGCAAGTGGAAGGGCACAGTCCATGACATCAGCTGTACGTACGCAGGCCCGATTCCCAGCTCTGAGGTTGAACCTCAAAACCCGGTACCTGTTAAACACGTAACATTCGCCTGCCTTGAGCTTCTTGGCACAAGTTCCCTATAACCACCCAACGCAGGCTGGATTTCTGGGATGAAAACTGACGGGATGCCATGGGGTCTTTCAGTGTCAAAGCCAGTGATGCGGCAAGGACAGGGGCTGCTGCTGTCCCAGGGCCAGGGATCTGTTCTTCCTCCCTTGGTATCGAGAGTTACTGCCCCATGTGTGCTCAGGGTTGGGGCAGCTCAGGGTTCGTCTGCGGCACGGTCAGAGGTGAGACAGCAGGTTGGGCGGAAATACCCGAGCTCGCTTCACGCTCGTTCGTTTAGGTGCTGGTGCCAAGCTGCCCACAGCGGCACAGACCTCAAAATCGTCGGGCACAGGGTAAGTGCCTGGCGCAAAGCTGCGGGCTGTTGCAGCTGCCCCGAGCGCCGTACCCAAACTAGGTAGGTTACAGCTAGTTCTAGTGTTTTCTGTAACATCAAACATCACTTCGCAAGCATTACAGATTAGCTGTGCCCCCGCCTTGTCCTCCCTTCCAAATGTCCTTACATAGCGTTGATTTGGTACTGGAGCGGGGATTTTCTCAATCTTCCTAGCAATGGGTTGTTGAAACATGCTAGAGTTTCCCTTGCTAAAGTCTGGCGCGGACCGAAAACACGGTAAGATCTTGTAGGCATTTGCAGCTGGATAGCTGGAGATTTTCTCGCGTGCAGTGCATGGAACCTGGAAACAGAGGGAGCAAGGAAACTGTCAGTAGCTGTGCTGGAAAGAAACTGGGAAATAGCTGAGGCCTGGAATTTACCAAATGGCATTTTAAAGGACAAATCACCTTTTGCATTTTAAGAACAGCAGAAACTTTGCTATACAGAACTGATGGCGGCAAGTTCTATGAAATGAAATGGGGGCAAGAGCGACTTTTTCAGGTACTAAGTTTCATTGATTTCTTCTTTTTGGCGTGGAGATGCTCATCAGCTTGCAAAAGAAACCTTAAAGACAACCTTTAAATTTTGTCTTAGAGAGAACAGATCCTGAAATTATGCACTTCAGCTGCGGATTTCAGATAGCTTAGTACAATATTCTAAATGAGTCCATAAAGTGTGTGCATATGGATCCTTCTTTACACTTTGGTAACTTAACAACAGCTCTGCCAATATTGCTTGAAAAGGTTCATGCAAAATTAAGAAGGGCCACCTCTGGGTGAGACTGAGCAAAGGCAATTTCAGCCCTGGTAGAAATTTAAAAGGTAAAAGCATATGAAAAAGCAGCTTAGAATAGCTGTTGGACTTCCACCTTAATTATAACTGTCTGACAATGAGAAATGATTTTCCCTCTTGGCTGGATTTTGGAAACATCCCAAATACAAAACTAAATGGGTATTGCAGAGATAGTCAACAGAGCCAGTAAAGACCAGATCCATAGGCCACTGAAGGTACTAGGTGGAAATCAGTCTGAAATAAAATGCTTCCTTGTCCTGGTTTTGGCTGGGGTAGAATTAATTTTCTTCCCAGTAGCTGGCACAGTGCTGTGGTTTGGATTTAGGATGAGAATAATGTTGATAACATGCTGATGGTGTAGTTGTTGCTGAGCAGTGCTGACACCAGGCAAGGGCTTTTCAGCTTCCCATGCTCTGCCGGGGGCACAAGGAGCTGGGAGGGGGCACGGCCAGGCCAGCTGACCCAAACTGGCCCAAGGGCCATTCCATACCATACGGCGTCATGGGCAGTATGGAAACTGGGGGGGGTTGGCTGGGGGGCAGCGATTGCTTCTTGGGGACTGGCTGGGCATCGGTCGGCGGGTGGGGAGCAATTGCATTGGGCATCACTTGCTTTGTATATTGTTATTACTGTTATTATTATATTGTTATTATTACTACTACTATTTTACTTTATTTTGTTTCAATTATTAAACTGTTCTTATCTCACCCTAGGAGTGTTTCTCACTCTTACTCTTCTGATTCTCTCG